AATGTAAGATCGGAAAATTGATAAGTACATAAGATAGTTGAGCTGATTAACAGTTTTTTTTTTAAATTATGAATTATGAATATAAATTTTAATTATTTTTCTTTCAGTTTGAAATAAAATATTAATTAAATAAATAGCTGCTAGATTTAGCTATTGCCAGACAATATTAAAGTGTTAGTTTACCCCAACTTGTTCGCAACTTGTATTTTGCTATTAATTACGAATAAACTTGAACGCCTACTAATTTTAAAGGGTTATTCGAAAAGACTGAAGCGACTGAGGCGAAATTCAAAGCCACATTATTTGCATAGAGCCACCTGATATCTCGTTAGCATGCATCACTAACGAAACACAGCCCCCGCCACCTGCCACTTGCCACCTGCCCCGTGTCCCAATTACGCGCTGAGCTCAAGAGCGCTTGCAACAAGATGCAAGATATGCTGGCAATGGGGAAGGCAATGAGGGGCGAGACAAGATAGTAGCGTAGCTCTTCAGCACGCTTAGCCGAGTAACTTGTGAGCTCTTAATTAGTAAATGCTGGCCATTAATGGCGGCGCCGTTGCAGCCCCAAAAACCCCCACTCCAACCCCTTCCCCCACTTAGACAACCCTTTCCCCGCCTTTCATTTATATATATGTACATATAACTCATACATAGAGCATTTCATGCATTTCATAATTATCTCTGGCAAGTCAAGCACCCGAAGCAGAAACCCTTCATCATGGACAGGCGCACCTACAAAAGGAACCCCCAACACCAACACCAACGACAACCCCTAACCTCTAATCCCCCCCCCCCCCCCGCTCTCTCTCGCTCTCTCTCTGTACAAACATACATAAGAAGCATTTGAAATGCTAACCGAAGAGTTAAAGACGGCGTGGGAGAGAGAGACAGAGTGGGAAACAGAGAGCGAGCGAGAGAGAGGGGTAGCTTCGGTGCCCATTTTCCAAAACACCCAATCTCTCAGACGCGCTCATTTTCGCGAGCGTGGAAAATTGAGAAAAACCCAAAACAAAAACAAAAAAAAGAGCAGCAGAAAAAAATGGAGCAAAGTGGATGCGCCCAGGATATGGTCTCTGGTCTCTGGTCTCTGGTCCAGGGTACGGGACATGCGCACGTGTGTGCAAGGGGAAAAGTGTGTGTGTGTGTGAGCGTGTGTGTGTATATGTGTGCTATGAGTTTTCCATGCGCATTTTCCAGGCACGCCAGTTCGAGCAAAAAAACACGCACAGAAACACAGCAGCCGCTGTCGAGAGCAGACATTATTTGCGGCAGCTTGCTGCCTGCCTGCCACGCGTTGCATGCAACAACAACAACTATAAATAGTTCGCTGTGAAAACAGTTGCATTTGAGTGAACAACATTTGCATAATTTGGCCATAAAGGAAGTGCAGCCAGCACCCCAACTGAAAACTGAATCAGAATCAGAAACTGAAATGGAAACTGAAACTGAAATTCTTCTTCATTGTTGAAAAGGTGTAAATAAAAATGCGTAAATCTATACACTCGGCGAAAAACCTTTGTCTCCAAACTGATTTGCATATGAAACACAACACGCTGCATGGTACGGGTAGGGGATGGGTGGGGGAGGGGTGAGTAGTGAGGGTACTGCTGCTCATTTGCATAATCAAGGCGCGCATGCGTGCAGTTTTTCCCCCTTTTTTTGCTGTTAGGGTTCGATGCGATTGATCCTGGATTGTATTGAGGAAAGGAGTTCTGTTGCCTGGCTAACAGTAAATATGTAGGCCATATGGAGCGGGCCATTCGAATTTTGCAGGATTAGTGAATTGTGCAAGGATTTGCGCAGTTGCCTCATGGGGCAAAGGGCAAAGACATTAATTGCAATGACAAACTTGTGGCAATTCGCCAGTAATTTCAGTTCTCTGCAAATAAAGTTCAAAGCTCGCAGTTTCAGAGCATTTCTAGGTTGTAGATAGTAATCCTCTTTTAATGATGAGAAAATCTCTATCTACTGTATATCCCTGTTTGTCTCAATTTCCTCTCCAAATTCAATTTGTATTCCTTGCGAAGTCCTGCAAGATCATTTCCCAAGTCAAAAGAACGTTTCCCCTTGCAATGTCTCCATCACCTGGAGAACTAGTAAATGCAATTTTCATTTCTTTGCAGCAAAGAAAATACTGAAATTCGATTTATTTCAATTAGGCGAAAGGCCAAAATAAACTTAAACATAAATCCAAGTTATTAAATCCAAGAGTAAAACTTTTGACAAAATGCAAAACACCAAAGAAAAAGGAAAAGCAAAGGCAAAAATAACAATAGCAAAAAAAAGAGAGCGAGAACAAAAGTTGCTTTGTTTGCTATCCAAGAGCAAGTTCAGTTCCAGCTCCAGTTCAGACCCAGTTCCAGTTTCGTCTCAGACACCAACAATAAAAGGTGCGACCTGGTGCTACCCACACTCTTCCCTCACCTGCCCCTCCTTCTGCCCCACCTGGTTTCCGTAGGCGCCACATTTAGAGCAGGCTGGCACCGAAAAGAATGCCGCAAAATAAAAATCGAAGAAAAACAATTAAAATTTATGGCGAAAAACGTTAAAAAAAAACAAAGGAAAGCGAAGCAAGCAGCAAGCGCAGCAGGCAAACAAATCATAAAATGCAAATGAAGCGGAGACGCCAAATTAAAATGCGGAAAATCATTGGACTCACTGATAAAAGAAGAAAAGGCCGCTCGGAGAGCAAAAAGTAGATGCAATTAGAAAGACACAGATAAAAACAATTTAATTTTGTTCTTGTTCGTGTTCGACTTTTCACACATTGCATTTTCTTCATATTCATGTATCCCCACATATACATACATCTTTATGTATATGTAAAGGACGTCCCTCGAAATTCTCATGCGAGGCTCTCTCATTCCATCCCATTCCATTCCTTCCCATCCACATTGGTTCGTCGACCAATCTGATACCCTCTGCTAATCCGCCCATGCACATATGTGGGCGTATGTAACCATATGTATATACCCTATATATGTGTGTGTGTATCTGTGTGTGTGTGTGTGTTTGTGTGAGAGAGAGAATGCGCCAACAAATCGAAATGTTGCAAAAAGTGCTCATATGTCCCACACACACACATACACACACACACATGCTAACCCTCCCCTTAGATGTGTATGCAAGGTTTGTCATTTTCCACCGAGTTTTTCTTTTCGTTTTTATTTTTTCTGGTCAAAATCAGCACCGTGGTTAGGGGTTGATTTTCCGACCGTCGTTCGTTGTATTTTTTTTTTATTTTCGCATTTCTCTTTCGCACACACATGCCAGATCGAGTGTGTGTGTGTGTAATATGTTGTGTATATGATTTTCCTCTTTTTTCTCGCTGTGTGTCCTCTCCTGTCAGTGTTGGGAGTCCTGCGCCAACTGTGGCGCTTATGTAAAAGTAAAACGCATGCAAACGAATAGATAACATACTAAAAAAGGCGAGCACATGTGACGGAGACAGCAATAGCAACAGAGACAGCAGCAGCTACAGCAACAGCAACAGCAGCTGGAAAAGCTTTGCCAATAACAATAACATTAACAACAACAACAACAACAACAGCAGCATCAATTGCAGTCGCAGTCGCAGTCAACGTCGCAGTCTCAGTCGACATTTGTGAGCAGAAGAGTTGTGTGTGTGGAAGCAAAAGCAAAAGCTTTGCATGTGAGACAGACAGGCAGACAGACAGAGACACAGAGCGGCACGTACGTTACACACACACACACACACACACACACACACTCACGCACACACATATACACACACACATACACACACACTTACACATTCATATATTGCTCACTCGCTCTCTCTCTCTCTCTCACTCACTCACACTGGAAAGCAAAAACTCAACTCGCTTTTTCGTTTTCCATAAGCTGGCCAAAAAGGATATGTCGACGCTGACGTCGGCGTCACTGCTGGCGCCCCTTTTTTTATGAAAAATGTTGGCGCCGACGTCGCTGCCAACGTGTGACAACTGTGCGCTGTGCGGTGTGTGTGTGTGTGTGTGTGAGTGTAAACTCCATGTGAGCCAACGAGGCGACTTCAATGTACCAATGTACCAGTACCCGGGGTGGGTGTCTTGGCTGTGGTTGTTGTTGTTGCTATTGCTGTTGTTGTTGTTGTTGTTGCTCCTGGTGGTGGCTATTACTCTTTACGAGCGCCGTTCAAAGCTCCACATGTGTGTATGTGTGTGTCTGTATGTGTGTGAGTGGGTGCGTCGCTCTTTCGTGTCGCTCTTTTTTTGCGTTTCGGCTTCGTGTGAGTTCGTGCTTGGTTCGTGCGCTCGCTCGCTTTGCTACGCATGTGTATGCAAATGTACACACACACACACACACACACATGCATGCGATATACATATAATAAATTGTTTTTTTTTCTGACGTGCGAGGACGGCTGCTGCTGCTGCTTGTTGTTGTTGTTGTGATATTTTATATGACGAAGGAGTAAAAAGCATCGCTGCCAGCGTCGTCGTCGTCGTCGCTTTTACCGTTAGCGTTACTCGTGCGTCGTCGAGCTGCGAAAGCATCCTCATGTGCTGCTGCTGCTGCTGTTTGTTGTTTTGTTGTTGTTGTTTGTTGTTGCCTTCGCCTTTGGCTCATACGTGTGCGCGCACGTGGGCGGTGCGGAGCGGGGAGGCGGAGGCTTGGTGGGGGTGTAGTCGCGTGTGTGCTACTGCTGCTGCTGCTGCTATCGTCGGCGTCTACGTCGCAGTCGCCGCTTGCTGCTTCGCATATCTGTTTTTTCGGGCCGACATCATTTGAATTAGTCGCTTCGTGACGTTTGAACGGTTCGAAACATACACGCGACCGCAGGACATTCACATACATTCACACACACTCGCTCCCTCGCTCACACACACACACTCGTACACACACACACACTCGCTCGCATACTGGCACGAACGAGGCGTTACCGTTACGAACTCAAAAGAAAAAGAAAAAAAACAAATCTAACTCTTTTTTCGAGGCAAGAAAGTATGTGATAAAATTCAGTGCGCTCACATGTGAATGGCAAAAAATGTGAATGAAGACATTTCACTGTAGACAGTTGTCTGTGTGCCCTGTGCGAAGATGGACGTGTTTTCAAAATATAATATAATAGTATAGAATAGAACTGAACGGGACTCACAACAAATTGAAGCCGCTTTTGGAGCATTTTTCGAGTCAATTTAAATGGTAATAAAATGCGAAGATATTTTGTGAAAAGTTATCAGAAACAACTCAAATAAATATTTATTGAAACGGTTTTTAAAAGCAGCTTAAAACTATTAAATCGACAAAAATTAAATCGGAAATTTTAGTGCTAATGCCAAAACAATATTTTCTTAATCAAAAGAACTTCAAAATATAATTTGAAAGCTCACCAAAGCTGACAGTTTCCAAATTAAAGTTTCTTTAATGGCTACTTTTTTTACATTTTCAAATTAAAGTTCGATTAATCTAAATTTAGTTAAAACGATTCAAGACTCGCAATATTATTTTCATTATTATGAATTCGAAATCGCTGCATATAAATTAAAAGATCAAACTAAAAATTCTACTAATCTGAATTAAGTAATTAGGACTAAATTTTTAATTCAAAATTGCTGCACTTAATTTACAAAATCAAATGAGAAAGTTCAAAGACAACTAACAAAACAAATAAATAATGAAATTAAATCTTTTCGCATAGTCAATGGATTTACTAAACAAAAATAAACTGTAATTGAAATTGAAATTGTGTTTTGCTTGTCGCGCCTATCATAAATCGCGGATTTTTCAAACGAAACAACCCAAAAAATTCTGTGAAATTTGCTAACCAAATTGAAGGATCGCACACACAACAAACACACACAAAGTACACACGGTGTATGTGTTTATTTTTTTTCTTGGTTTATGACCAACAGTAAATGGGCCGACAAATTGAGCTGTCAACGGCCATTAAATAGTAGTAAATACCTGTCCTGTCGACAGGACCTGCGCCAGCTTCACATCTTTTGTCAGTATGTCTGTTTGTCCGCTTACCTGCTCAGTGTTTATTTACTTGCGTGTTTCTGTATTTGCTGTTCCACAGTCAACACACGCACACACACACACCTGATTATCACCTGCAGCAAGATGGAAATTTTGCGGCATGTCGAGAGCAAAAGATCGAGAGCGAGTGCTGCAGATCCTGCCCACAAAACTAACAGACATCTGTGTGTGTGTGAGTGTGTGTTTCCATTTGAGGGTGAGATTTGTTTGCGCCACATGCATATCAATATTCACATGTGAAGCATTTCAGTTTGTGGCAAACCCTCGACGCGTTAGTTTCATGTGCTCTCTATTCTCACAAAACCAAAACGTGTTACTCGAAAAAAATAATAATACAAATAAAAACAAAAAAGAAAAAGAGCAAAAAAAATCGTTTGTGTTTGTGATCTTTGGTATTTGAAATCACACACCTGAACAATCGATCGATCGTAAGAGAAACACATGTGGAGCATAATTAAAAAAATGCGCAAATATCTCTAATTTCAACTTGCGGCATTTTGTGTTTACAGTTTTCAACCATACGAAATGGATGCGAGTGCTAAGAACTGTGTCAATATTGATAACACCAACAACAAGCTAACCAAGTGAAAAGCATTGAGAAAGAAACTCAACATAATTAGAAGGGATACAATATCAAAAGTCGAGACTAAATTCATTTGAATGGTACGTAGAAAGGTTAAAAATGAACTTATCATTGAATAGAATAAATACTGCATATATAATAAATTATAGTAATTTACTCATTTTATGATAATTGTTTAATTCCAATTGTTTTTAATTATATAAATAAATAAATGAAAATATAAAAGGGTATGGATAATTTTGGAGAAAAGAAAATTGATTCACTTTTAAACCCTTTTCTATAATTTATTTACGGTTCTTAGTTCACATTAAAATAATAACCAATAAAAATAAATAAATAAATAAATGAAAAATAAATAACAACATGAAAAGGTTTATAGGGGTAATTTCGGAGAACCCTCACCTAAGCCTAACCCTTTATGGTGAAACTTATTCCAACCCCAATAGAATAAAAATTTTAAAACTTGCCAGTGATGAAACTGATTAATCGTTGGAATTTATGCTAATTCATACTGAAACACCTTATAGATTGTTGCAACTGATCAGTGTGTTGTCTTTTCATAGTGCAACGCCTTAAGAATTAAATTATTTTACATTCTTAATAAATCTAGGAAAATCCTCTAAAATCGATTTTACACTCAAAATGTATATGGGAAAATCCCTCAATCCATTTTCCATTCCAAAAGATTTTTAAAATTTAGATATACATTTTCATTACCTTTTTAGTACGTATCACATTGATTAAAGCATTGAATTATTTTGCATCAATTTAGATATATTATAGGATCAAGCGCAATCAATTCCCATTTTTTAAAGTCTTCAACTTAAGCTTGATCTAAGCTTTAACTATGTGACAAACTGAGAACTGCTTCATTTTTGTGGGACCATCTTAAATTCAAATGGAAATCTGACTGACTTACTGCGACATTAATTAAAAACTCGACTAAGTCTCTACTTCTGCTTCTCTCGCTCTTCTCTCTCTCTCTCTCTCTCTCTCTACCTCTCACTCTCTTTCTCTCGCTCTCAGGTAGCTGAGCTGACATTAACTGTTTTCTGAACTGTGTCGCTTTTAGCGGCGCTTGAAAGTAAAATACGTGAGTAAATAAATAAAAATGTTGCCTCAGTTGCCACAGTTGTCGAGGCACCGCAAATGAGTTGCAAGCCACGAAAAAAAGCAGATGCCGCATGAAGAAGCTGCTGCTGTTGCTGCCTGCTAATTGCACATTGTTGCATTCAGGCGTGGGTGTCTCGTCCTGGGTTGCAGGTGGCCCAGCGGTAGCATGTGTTGATATGCGGCTTTTTGCGGCACGGGAAGGAAGAAGCTGCTTGCAACCGCTTAACCGCTCGAGAGACGCTGCGGTTTTAGCACGCAGCAACTAACGGTAAACGGCAAATAAAAATGTTTATTTTCGCCGGGGCAGCAAAGTAAAGTTTTTTAATCTTGCAACCAAGCAATGCAGATGAGTCGGGATTCAGATTGGGATTGGCATTGGGATTGATGTGAGGTGCTTTAAGGCAGCTGCCGACTACTTTTTAAATTCACACACGCAGCGTGCAACAAAGAGAGGTGTGTGTGAGGGGCACGCCACGCCAGACAGTTGCTGAATTAATTAGATGCCACGCACCGAGATGCGTATGAAAAAAGAAGCTCATCTGCGGCACTGTGGTTGTCAAACCAAATCAGCAATAAACAGATTTGAATTGAGAACTGAAAAGTGAGATGCTTTTTAATATAATATATAATATATTAGTTTTATCTATCCATGCAGGAAATTTTGGGCACAGGAAATTTAAATATTAATATTTTTACTAATTATTGATTTTTATTTGTTGAGCATTTTTCTTGGTCGACTAACATTAGTCGACATTAAATAAATAATTAAATGAAAGGTCGATTCCTTTTTAGTTTTTAGAACAGATATTTTAGAATATATTTTATACATATAAATTATTATGATCTATTTTATTATATTATATTTATATTCGTAATTATAATTAGTTAGTTTTAAATATGAAGAGCACTTACAAAACAATCAATTACAATAACGTATACTTATATTTAGGTTTTTGTACCACTGTGCGCATATGTGTGTTAGTGCGTGCGTGTGTGTGTGAGCCGTAGATAAACATAAACACAGTCGACAGATAGACAAAGCTGCAGGCAGGCAGTTAGGCAGGTAGGCAGTCTGCCTCTGAGGGGGATAGCTGATAGGGGAGGGGGATGGAGGCAGACGAGTGAGCCATTATCACACATCACACATCTGCATGTGATATCCTCAAGGATACGCGACACGACACGTAGCCCATGTCTCTGATTGCTTCATGTGCTCTGTCCTTGCCTTCTTCTTCATATTATTATTCTTCTGCGTATTGTTGTTATTTAGCTTTTGCATTGTTTTCTGGCTTTTTGTTGTGCTTGGGATTTGCCCAAAAATGTGTTATGCACAGGGTGAGGTGTATAAGAGCATACGGCATCTCATCTCTGAGATGATATATGCCGCGACTCATTAACATATTATCACAACACATACACGAAGCGAGCAGCACGGCATACATATCATATGTCAAGAGTACACTCGAAAAATGTATTAATAAAAAGACACTCAAATTTAGAACTAACATGAATATTGCCCGGAAAGCTAGGAAGTTTCACTGGTGCTTAGAAATATTTTCTGAATATTCGAACAAAAGAGAAACATATTCTTGTTTTTTAGAAATAATTTCAAAATATACTAACAAAATTTTCTTAAAATTAGAAAGGTTATTTTTCTTTTTTCATTTCCAGAAATATTTTCTGTAATTAAGAAATATATTTCTAGCAAGAGTATAACAAGTAGAAATAATAAATCCATATCTTAAAAAACCTTTTAAAATTCCAAAACATGCCATAAAATTTGCTGACAAGAGAATAGCAATAGCAGAAGAAAAAATTAATGTAATATTAGTAAAATTTTTTGCTGAGTGTATAAGCTGAAACTGAATCAGAATACATTATGCAGCGCATTAGGCTTAAGCTTTTGCTCATTCGCCTTCTAACCTTCGCTAACTCCCCCTCTACTTTTCTATTTACCCCTCTCTTTGCAGAGCACGAGTTGCTTGCAGCAAGTTTGAGTTGCGACACGTGACTTTTGGCGGGGCATGTTAAAGGACGCCGAGGAGCTGATAAAACGCTGCAATTTGACGTCGCTGCCGTCGCTGGCGCTGCACATGAACGATTACGGCCGCCAGGTGGCGCCAGCGCTGCCGCTGCCGCTACTAGCGAAGCCACCTACAACGATGGCAACAACAACTGGCGTAGGCATCGATCTGCATCGTCCACATCCCCATTCACATCCACATCATCTGCATACGCATCATCAGCAGCAGCAGCAACATCATCATCAGCAGCAGCAGCAGCAGCAACAGCTACAACAGTTGCCGCTGTCTCTGCTGCCCGCATCGCAGATGCTGCACGGCAGCCACGCCCATGCCACACCGCCCACAACGCCGCCCACGCCGCCAGCGCTGCCGCTGAACATGAGCCAGACCGCAACGGCAACAGCAACAACAACAACAGTTTCTGCTGCTGCTGCAACAACAACGGTTGCCCCTGCTGCTGCGACGGCAACAACAACAGCAGCAGCTGCGACAACAACATGTACAACAGCTGCAACGCCGCCTGCCACACCTGCCACGTCTGCAACAGCGCTCAGCGCTCAACCCGCGCAGGATCATTACAGCCTCCGCTGGAACAATCATCAGAATCACATCCTGCGCGCCTTTGACGCACTGCTTCAAACCAAGACACTCGTTGATGTGACTCTCGTCTGTGCGGAGACCTCGATAAGGGCACACAAAATGGTCCTGTCCGCCTGTTCCCCGTTCTTTCAGCGCGTCTTTGCTGAGACGCCGTGCAAACATCCTGTCATCGTCTTGAAGGACTTTCGTGGATGGGTTGTCCAGGCAATTGTGGATTTTATGTATCGTGGCGAGATTAGTGTGCCCCAGCAGCGCCTGCAGACACTCATCCAGGCGGGGGAGTCGTTGCAGGTGCGCGGTTTGGTGGAGAGTTCGGTGCCGGAACATACACCAACACCGGCTGCTTCTCCGGATGACTTCAACCTGCTGGATGCTTCACTGCTGGCGACCAGCTTTGAGGACGACTCACCGTCGATGGTGATGAGACCCTCCACGGGCAAGTTGATAATGCCGACGCGTCTCTTCGCTGGTGCTGGCCATGCGCCGATGGCGCTCAGCTTACGCCGTAAGCGCGAGCAGGACAGCGAACGTGAGCCAGAAAGTGATCAGGAGCTGGGCAGTGGCTCACCCATGCCGAGACGCAAACAGGCGCGTCCGCGGCGACGTTCCGGCGATGACTTTGCGCTGAGCAAGCCAGAGACGTGCTCGGAGACGTTGCCACTGCAAACTGTGATCAAGGAGGAGCAGGAGCAGGAACATGACACGAGTGATAAGCAGCGCAACGAGGATGAGGCAATGGAACAGGTTGAGCAGCAGTCGCAGGAAATCCACGACAACGAGGATGAGGAGCAGGAAGAGGAGGAGGGTGGACAAGCTGCAGCTACAAGCGAGGTGGAGCACGCACTGCCCCTCATCACGTCCAGCAATCAGCTGGATCTGGATGAGGAGGAATTGCAGGAGGATGAACATGAACGAGAGCAGCGGCAAGATCGAACGGAAAACCAACACCAACACGATCCAGATGAGCCGGAGGAAGAGCAGGAGGAAGAGGATGAGCAGGAAGACGACGAGGAGGAGGAGGAAGAACAGGACATTGAAGAGCTGATACACACGACGAATGAGTTGCGTCGTCAGGCGGCTGTTGCCGCTGCCAATGCGGCTGCCATGTCGCCGTGTCCCAGCGATGGGCCCGAGGATCTATGCACCACCAAAAAGGACAAAGACTCGCACTGCTCCTCCGACAACGAGAGCAACAACAACAACAACAACAGCAGCAAACTACAGGACAACAATCAGCGCATCATGTTGTCCTTAAAGGATATTCGGCAATTGAATGCCAAGCCGAGTGCAAGCTCAACGCCCAACAGCTGTGCCCATGGCAACAATGGCCTGTTGTCTTTTCCACCGCCGCCGCCGCCACCTGGCCTACGTCCGCCGGACAGTCCACCCTGCCACATGGAGGCGCTGGAGGCGCAAATGCATGCTGCAGCCGCTGCAGCTGCCGCTGCTGCCGCCGCTGCTGGTGTCGGTGACAATCCCTTTCATCACATGGAGCATCAGATGGAAATGTCGCTGGCCGCCGCCGCTGCCGCAGCCGCAATGCACCGGGAGCGGGAGCGTGATCCGCGCGAGACACGCGAGCAGGCGCTGCAGCGGGAGCACAACGCATTCGCAAGTAATCTGCTGGGACCGATGGGTCTGCCCCCGTTTCATGGACACAATGGGGGCGTGGGGCATGCGCCTCATGAGCGGCTCGAGGAGAGCATGAATCGGTTGAGCAAAGAGTTTGGCAAGGAGTTTGGCAAGGATTTTGGCAAGGATTTTGGCAAAGAGTTTTGCAAGGAATTTGCGCCCACGTCGCCAATGAGTTTACCAGGCCACTATAATCCACAGGATGGACAACCACATCCGCCTTCGCCGCTGCCCTTTCCCGGTATGTCCTCGGCGTTGACGCTGACGCCGCCACACAGTAAGTCGTTGAAAAACAGTCTGGCATAACCGACTGCAAAATACACTGCTACCAGTTAGAAATACCCTTTGATAATAGGAAGATATATAATATTAAATAGAACAGGTTGGGTTTACCCAAGAGAGGGAGATAGAAGAAGTGATCCACCTTTATCGATTGGTGAATATCGATAAATGATTTCGATCGAATTCGTAGTTTAATTCCCAGACAAGTTTCAAGGCTATAGATTTCAAGGTGTACGGAAAGACGATACCTAGAGTATAACCTAGAGTATAAAAATCCGCTTAAGCTGAAAGGTCACTGGGTTATCCTGTGCACACATCCTGCGCAGAAACAAGCGGAAGTCCTAATAAACTCTCAGTGCTGCAGGCGAGCTTCTGCTTGCCTTTTTTCTTTTTCCTTTGACTCGGATGCGAGGCGACTCCTCGAGGCGACTCCTTGACTTGCCTTCTTGGTGCACGTACGCGACTTTACTCTTAATAAGCTCGCATGTCCCTTGCCACAGCATGATGCAACATGTTGCCACAATCTCGTCCTGTCTCTGTGTCTTTCTCTGTCCCTTCTCCCTTTTGGCTTGCCCCTTCCCTTGCCACATCAAAGTGGCATCGACTGCAACGTCGCATCCTTTGCCGAGGTCCTGCTTGGCTTGTCGTTGCCATGGCCAAAGCTGTTGCAAAGCCTTTAAACGTATTAGTGTCGCCACCGAGTGGCAATTCACACTCTTCAACATGCTTTGGCATCACTTCTTCTTTTTCTTCCTTTTTTTTTTGCAGTAGTCGCTTTTATTGAGTTTTTTATTCTGCATCAACAAGTTGCAAGAAAAGTGTGGGTTAGTCAAACATATTCAATCACAGCATTAGATTGATAAAAGCTTAAAGTAGTTTAACTCATTTTATGGGCATTATCTGGGAATCGCGTTCAAAAGATATTCTTTAAGATTTTGTAAGACCCTTGCATCTTCTTTGGCCAGCTCCCCTGCTTCTACCAAATGCGCCACTGAATTCAAACTTCAAATTATTTTATTAACCTAAAAGCATTATACTCTCAAGAAGAGTATGATGTCGCAGTTATAGCTCGTCAATTTATTTTATTAATCTGAAATGTCTGCTTACTTTTTTTGTAAATAATGATATTATTTGTAAATGCTCTAAACAATGTCTCTCTGGGCTTTATCATTTATAGCTAAGTTTCTTGCTACTCTGATTTTCTACTATTCTTTTCAGCTGTTCTAACTCACTTCAATATGAATATTAACTGTCCAATTTCCCAAGAAATTCGTTCTGACTATATATATTTCCACATATTATTTCCACACACATTCCACTGTCCAATTTTGATTGCTTTACCCAAATCACGAAGTTGCCATTTAAACCATTAGCAGCCCCCCTCTTGCTTATAGTACATATTCATGCCTAATTAAGTCATAAACAAATTTTGAACGTTGACAGCTCATAAGAATTATTGAAATGAACTAAAAACTGAAATGTGGCGAGTGCGCCTAATAATTTGACAGTTTAGTTATTGCCACCCCCCACAGTTCCCGAAAACAACTCACTAGTTGTCTGTCTGTCTGGCATAGTTGAAGGGAAGGGGAGTGGCAGCAAAGGGGCTGAGTGGCAGAGGTGAACTGGCTGTGGTTGCTTGCAAAAGTTGCTAGTTGGAGCTGCAGTCGAAATAAATTCAATTGCGGTTTATATATATGATTTTTTTTATTTATGTCACCCGAGGCAGAAATAGAGGTGCAAAGTGGTGGCTAAGAGGGGTGAAGGGAATAGGGGAGAGTGGGGCATTCAGTTGCGTGCCAGATAATTTATGTTGTGTCTTGGCAACATGTGAACCATATACATATATATATATATATATATAGATATATGTGAATGTGGAGTTCAAACTGTCGGCAGACGTTTAGCGAAATGACTTTTAAGTTGCCAAACAGCCACGCCCCCTTGTTGATAGAATGTGTGTTGTTGTTGTGTTTAAAGTATGCCAGAGAGCAAATGCAACACAGCAACAAGACTTAAACCTTTTGGCAAACAACTTTGGCAGCAGCGTTGGCGGTGGCAGAAATAAAAAAAAATAATAAGAATACCAGGAGTCTTCAACGTTTTGCTTCCCTTTTGCGCATGAAAACTTTTGCATATAAGTCGCGCGATATTCATATTAATAATATCCGTTTGGGGCGGGGGCGGGGCGGAGTCCAGGGAGTCCTCAAACTGCAACTCTTCAGGTCTCTTGTCAGGCGCGACGCGCGCACACAGGATATAAAATAAATTAAGGGGGCACAAAAATATGAAAAATTGTACGAAAATGCCAAAGTCGCGCAGGAAGCGCAATACCTTTTAATGCGACAAACATTTTTGCAGCCCAACATATCAGGGCAATGACAAAACTGGTATGGGACTAAGAGGGGGTGGAAGGGGTGTGTGCAACAAGGGGTGGCAGCAATACGCTAACTACTGCACAAACAGGCTGCAGGCAATGAATGAATGTGCCACAGCCAAGCAGACAAGCAAAGCAAAAGAAACCAGACAAGACACAAGCCAAAGAAAATGCTGAGGAAAGTCAGAGAAAGTCGACTAAAGATATACACCAACTTAGTGGGGAGAGGAAACTCTTAAAAGCAACACTTTGTGGCTGCTTAATAAAGGATATTAATGAAGGATTCAATCGATATTAATTAGTATATATAGGTAAGTAGTAGTAACAAATATTTTTATATAGTAGTCGAAAGTTGTAACCCTAAAATCAAACAAATTTGAATCGAGAGATCCCTTTGCTCTCGTCTTTTCCCCCCATATTTTACAAATCACTTCAACAAGTCCTTATACCCTCCAATGTTTACGCTACACTCCATGCCAAACAGAAGCGCTGCAGACAGCCACAGAAAAAGATTTAGCAACGTTTTACGGCGACGACGTATGAAGAATATTATTTATTTTTTGCTAGCCATATTTCGGCGTGAAAATCATTGAACTAATAGCATGTGACGTTTGCGAGTCAGAGTCAGTGGCGAGTGCCAGAGTCAGTGGCTGTCTTGTTCTAGACCCCTTGAGGATAAACCGTGAAAAGAAATCCCCACTAATTTCAAAGCGATGCCAAAAAGAAAAAGGAAAATGAAAAAAAAGAAAATCTCGCAAATATTACGTATACGCAGCGTGTGGAAATTTCAATGTCTTGTGAATACTTGAGCGCAAACAATGCGCGCTCGTTATTATTATTGTGTGTCATTATGCGCGGAACAGCAGCAGTAGCAGTAACAGATACAGATACAGACACATAACATGGATCCAGACCTCAGTTGCAGTTACAAATAATATGTAGAATGTGCTCCACTTGCCCCAACTGCCTCCGCTCATCTTCTGTGTGACTGCTGGATTCGCATTCGCGCACTTATGAAATCATTCAGCACAATGTCAATGTTATGGCTTTACACATACACCAACACACCCGCACACCCGCACACACCCACACACATAGTGCTTCATCCTTGCATATCCTTGAGTTGCTTTATCCTGCGCCTCATCAGTGCTTCAATTGTTTCACTCATGTGAAGAACTGCACTCGTCGCCTAAATTATTAATAGAATAATGACGTTCCATTGTTTGCCCATCCAGATGCACTCAATTGGCATATTCTTAGAGTGTAACCCTCCTCGTCCTCCCACTCTAACCCTCCCTCCTCATTCTGACCCTATTCCATTGTTAGCTATGCAATCAGTGAGCTGGAAAATGAGTCGCTTAGGGCAACATTTACAAACTATAAATTGAGATTTAAGCTGAAGTTTATGCACAAGATAATGCAGCTGATTAGTGAAGTTTCTAGCTTATAGGTCAGAAAAAACGCCTTTCTAATTTTAATTAAAAGGATTTCTTATGTTTAGAAATTATTTCCGAAAAGAAGAAAAAATTTGTAGCTTTTAGAGAGATTTTAATTTGATTTATTAAAGGGACGATTTATTTTTCAGAATGTATAAGTTTAATAATCGACTCTCCCTCTCTCTATTTCTTCCTTATAGTGTTTGGCCTGGACTCGCCGCTTGGCTTATTTCCGCCAGGCATTGATCCTGGCAAACTTTACAATCCGCTGATGGAAATGAGCGATCCACGCGATATGCCCGGCGGACCGCCACCGTTTCTCAAAAAGAAAAGTGAGTAGTCATTGAAAAATGATTCCCTAAGCAACCCCGCCCCCCTCGCAGTACGTGAAAAACAAACAGTTAATTAACCTCGAAGCGAACCCAATAAAAAAAAACAAAGTCAAACTACAGCGAGAAAGGTTGAAAACCCATTGAACATGATTGCCATGATGTCGAGCGAAGTGGAGTGGAGTCGACTCGAGTCGAGTCTCCCCCTTAATATGTTGCTGTTGCAGTGGCAGTTGCAGTTGCAGTTGCAGTTGCAGTTGTTGTTGTTGTGTGCTTCGTGCCTTACTTCACACCTGACTGCTGCTGACTGCTTCACTATTTGGCTGATTGATCTCTCATTCTGGATGGTCTTTGCGAGTGAGTTCTGCTCAAAGTTGCCTGCACTTTGGATCACGTCTCTCTCCCGCTCAGATTGGGCTATTGGGCATCAGCATTAGCATTAGCAACGAGCACTTAAGTAGGTGTCTGCTTACTCCATCGACCGATGTTTGGTAAATATCCGTGGCCATAAAGTTAGCTAGCACTAATCGTTGATCTTTTAAAATCAATAAGAGTTTTGAGTTGAGCATTGCCATTTAAGTCTATTGTGATCTTATAACTAGTGATCGATTGCTAGGCAATATTTATTATTATAAAACATTTTTGACGGATCATCTGTTGTTATAGTGAAATATGTACGAGTATATCTTCTTTACCAAATATTATTTGAATATAAACTGATCTATGCTTACATCATATATACATTTTAGCTGTGATCATACTGGCATATTATGCATGAAGGCATCAATTTAGTGTGTTTACACTTGATCTTTATAAACACATATATTTCTTTATACACTTCGATATTCCCCAACTCAACGCTGATCATTAATTTCTCCCCCTTTTTTAGACGCTTAAGCAAGACACTAAAAGAGAAGTACTTTAAACTCGAATGCGTGCTCATTTCCTTTATAGCCACATTCTAAAAACCTTCTTCCCGCTCAACTCTCCCCCTTTGTTAGCCATCCCTTTCCAATCAGTTGAGACGCGATCACTCGTGCGATCATGTGAGGCGGCAAATTTGTTTTTGTGGTTTTCCTGCTGTTTTTCTGCTTTTCAGTTTGCTGCTCATTGAGTTGGGGCTGTGTTCAGTTGTGTTGTGTGTTTGTTGTGTTTGTTTTTTGTGTTACTTGAGTGAATCAACATGTGCACCTATGCATATCGTAAAAACGTAAACGTTAAAGTTCGTTTTTCCAGCCTGTATAACTCTTGATTGACAAATAGGCAGCTTCAGCTCCATAAACGCTGTCTTTTTTTTTTGAGCAAGTGAAACCTCAAAAAGTTAATGAAGTTTTTTTCTGTGAGTGTGTGTGTGTGTGTGGAAGTAATATTTTCATAATATGTGTACAAAATGTGGTTCACAAATCAATTATTGCCTTTGATTGTCATGTGATTGACAAATGAGAGAGCGCAGAGCCAACAAAAAACGAAGAGAGAGAGAAGAGTGAGAAGTTGCCTGAGATTTACCTTTCGGTTGTCTTTTTACCCATATATTTGACAGTTCATTTGACAGTTTATGGGCTTAGGGGCTGGCGTTGATGATGGGTTAAGTGCTTTTTATAAAAGATTAGACGCTCGACTCTTGAATGAAGTTTACAAGCGCCAATCGTGAAGCAGTAGAAAGCTTAAGTGCGATATCTTTACATATATGATTGAGATCACAATTTATGATCCACCCACATGATATGCATATAGAGTACAAATCGGTACTCGTTGATCTGATCGTTCCACTGTCAATTCAAACTCGATCAGCGCGCTTTAATTGCTTAATTTTCTCATCAATAGCAAAGAAAAGACAACAACAAAAAATAGTCGTGATCAGATGTTTTGGCATGCCTGGTATCCGGCTGATCTCCTCTCTCAACCCTCATCTCTCTGAGTGGGACTCATCCCGACCATGACAATCGCTGCTTAAATAACAACAAACTGTGCTAAAAAGCGCAAATCTGGCGTATAGCACGATATTCTTTATTGCGAATCTGGCGAATCTCTACAAAGCCGAACGGGTTTGTGGCCCAAAAAAAAAGAGGAGAATAGCATTGATAAGAATCAACCACTTTGCTCAAGAAACGGTACACAGGCATTGCCTCAAGTGGCACAGGCAACAAGGGGGGCAAGCAGAGGTACTCACTTCTATGGCCCTTGCATTCGTTGTATTCATTCGTGTGGGTGTGATTAACTGATTTGTTCACATTCATTTGTTCATTTTGCGATTGTTTTTTTTTCGGGTCTACTCTCTCTCTCTCTCTCTCTCTCTCTCTTGCTCTCGCTCTCCTTCTTACTCTCTGTCTCTTTCTCGACTGTTGGAAACGTGATTTGCGATTTGTAACAAATTCAAATTTCATTTTGTAGTTGGCAGAGGGGGAGGGATGGGGGTGGCAGGGCAGGCGAGTTGACTGCAATGGTACCTTATTAGAACCCAACAACAAGAAAAACAACAACCACAACAACTGGAGAGCTAAGCAATTGCATAGCTGGCTCTTGTTCTTCTTGCTTCCTTGGAAGAAAAGGTCAGACCTACGTTGTGACCCCCTCGGCTGCCAATGTAAATTGTGGCAGCAACAACAACAACAACAACAAATTGAATAACAGTTGTGTTATATGAGGAATTTGTGTTTCAATACGGCTTAAAATAGACAAAAACAAAATTGGGTTAAATACAAATACCAAGTCGAACTGAGTCATTAAGTTGAGCTTAAGTTAGTCTTCATTCAAGAAAATACTCAAGCAGCAGAAAAGTGCTGATTTTAAATATATAGACTCAAGATATATATATATATATATATAGATAAATTCATAGCATTATTTTTTTTATTTTAAACTTACAGAGTAGAAAACCAATTCGGTCTCTTAGTTGCTCGACTTTCGATAATTTCTGTATTTTATTTAGGTTTCTTATAATTATTTTCATTTATGAAGGTGTTTTTATCAATTGATAAAGTCACCATTTAGGCTTTCCTATTAATTGAACTGATGTAATCATTAAATCTAAGTTAGTTTCTTTATTATCTATATTTGTTATTGCCATAAATTATTGAGACTTTTCCCTCAATTTAACCCACATCATCATTGGCCAAGTGCTCACATTATTTTCACTCCTGCTAACGGCCACGAAAAGCAAATTGCATATTATCGGGCAAGAGAAGGCCCAAAAAGGAAAAGCTATAATAAACTGTAAGTTATCGCAGGCTGCAACTTGGGCCACATATATATATACATATATATTTATATATATGTATATACACGATTACTATACTTGTAAGTGCGATTCAGACTGGGCCAAAAGCAACAGATTCGAAATGATCTCCTCCATGGCTGCTATCTGTTGACGTTGTCTCCAAGTCTCTTCGGTTGTTGTTGCTCAACTGAACCTGTGGCATCAACTCTCATCTCTCTCTCTCTCTTTGTCTCTCTCTCTGTCTCTTTCTGTCACTCGCTGTGATTTTCTCGTTGTGGGGCAGGTTCAATATCTGTGGATCTAAATTGAGTTTTAGCTGGCGCATGTGAGCCGAGTGCATGCTCGTAATTTGCATATGCAAGAAAGGAACGAAGGAAGGTCGGGCGAGGCACCAGCCTCAGCCAGCCAGCCAGCCAGCCCGCCAGCTAGCCAGCTTTAACTCTGCCTGTAGACGGGCATTCGGGCTTATGGGAACCACCACGGCGATCGCTTTTCCTTGTTGTAGGTGCCACATGCAACAACAACAAAAATAGTAACAACAACAGCGAGTAACAGCAGTGAGCTAGAGTTGATACAGAAGATATCCAGTATTTAACTATTTGTCTCTCAAGTAGAGGTTATAAACATAAAAGATAGTTGGCAGTTTGTACACTTGGAAAAAAATCGACTTTCTGAACTTGTAGGGTGATTTTTTTTCCGCGTGTAGACTTTCTACCATTTTAGCTAAGATCTTCCTACAACCCAATCTGTGTCGCAAGCAAATTCCGAACTCATACTATCCTCTTCCCTCGCACTCGTAGTCTGTACAGGGTATATGGCAACAGCTCAAACAGGGTGTGTATGAGCTGTGGGCATACTTGCCAAGACAATGGGCGAATCATGCAGCTATCCCAGCTAGCCCAGCATATGGGCCACAAGATTGAAACATTAGCAGATGCTTCGCCTTGAGATAACCCAGAAAGAAAAACTTATTGTGTGTGGATCTTGTGGCTAATCAGTGCCCCTCTCTGTCTTTGCAGTGCCACGACCGAAGGGACAGCATTCGGCGCCACGAGGCGGACCGCCCCGTTCCTGGACAAACACCGAGCTGACGGAGGCACTGCAGCACGTGTGGAACAAGAAGATGACCACGTCGCAGGCATCCCGCATCTTTGGCATACCCTACAACTCGCTGCTGATGTATGTGCGTGGCAAGTATGGGAAGAGTCTGAAGTTGGAACAGTTGCGCAAGGATTGCATCAGTGGGCCGCCCATCGAGATGCTACAAATGGGCATTAGTGGAGGTGGCAGTGGTGGTGGCTCCAAGAGCGAGAAAAAGGAGCGCAAGGAGAAGGACAAGGAGAAGCATGCAGCAGCTGCCAATTCCAATTCCAATTCAGGCAACAACAGCAACAGTAGCAACAACAACAGCAACAACCACAACTCGTCTGGTCATCCGAATCAAGCGCAGCTCTCCCATCATCCCAGCGATTTGGGTGCACTGGGTCCACTCGATCTGGAACTGGGCTTGCCGCTGGGTCCGCCCGTTGGGCCGCGCAGTGGCAGCTCTGAGCCTGATTTGCTGGGGGGACCCGGCGCCGGCCTCTTCAATCCGTTCAATCCGCAGGGTTTCTATCCGGATTTCGCAGGCGGTTTTCCGGGTCTGCCGCTGAGCATGCTAAATCTTCTGCCGCCAGCGGAGCGGCATCATGCCGCCGTTGCCATGCATCATTTGGGCGTTAGCATGGATGAGGACTGCAAATCGGTGGGCTCCAAGCAGTCATCGTCGCTGGATGATGACTACAGCCTCTCCCTCGACCAGCGGCGGCACAGTGAGCTCTCCAGCAATGGAACGGCGGCGCTAGCCCAGGCGGGTGCGGCGGCGGCGGCGGCGCAGGATTGAAATATGTGGCGGGATTGGGCTGCGAACCCAATGTTTTTCCCGCCCTATGAGCTGGATGTGGCAGCTGCACACTCGCCACCCCCTCATCCTCCCGCTACGCCGCCGCTGCCTCCTCCTCACCCGAATCCTGCCCCGCATCCGCATCATCAGGCTTGTCGCGATTTCAATTTCAATCCGAGCTTATTTGTGGCACGTCGCAAGCTGAAACGGTATCGGGCCAAGCGTGTCCATATGCAGCTTCAAGCGCCAGTTGGCGTGGGCGTGGCACCGCCCCCACCCCCACCACCTCCGCCACCACCCCCTCCGCCGTCGCTGCGCAGCTAAATCCAAAAACCCAAAAAAATCCAACTGTGAACATCGAGATCGTGATGTGAAAATTGAATGCAATATATTTTGTGAATTAGCCGAGAATTCAAGTAATTTAATTATTTAATTACTAATGCCGACAAATTTTTGATTTACAGTGATCGCTCGATAAAATGTACCTCCTTCTTATCTACTTTGTATCATTTAATATTTTTTATTTCACTTATCAAACGTTTACAATTAGACGAGAATTCAAGTAATTTAATTAATTTAATGACTCATGCCGACAATATTTGATTTAAAATTCATTTGTTAGCTCAAAAAAATGTTTATCGTTTTGATCTACTTTTACTTAACACTTTTTTAAATATTTGTAATTTATAATAATTTGTAATTATTTTGTTCAATTCTCAAGCGTTCACTAATTGTTTAAGAGTATGTTTTTTGTGTATATTTTGCTGGTGCTTTTAGTTCCTATTCCCCCAATTTTAGTTTGATTTTAAATGTTAATTTTAAGCTTAAGTAACTGAATATGACAAAGCTTACAAAGCATTTGAGGCAATACATGAACAAAAAAATACTTATTTATATAAAATGCTCTTAATTTAATTATTATTACTATTCTTATTATTAGTTATGTATATAAGTAAGAATATAATCAAAACGTACAACTTATTGCAACTATAATTTAAGTGAGAACTTTTGTAAATATGACGCAGAGATAACCAAACCAAGCAGCATTAGGGGTATTCTTCAGGTTGTGGGGCCAACAATCGAGATTCATCGATTTGCGACTCGCAACCTGAAGCGCAATTAGCAGAAGAAAACAAAACAAAAGAAAAGATAAGAAAAGAAAAGAAAAGAAAAACAATGAAAATGTAGTAGTATTGATCTATGGATGGATTTATTGATGATATATTGATGATGACTGTACCAAAATTTTTAAAACGTTATTCTACGAACCAGCGGCAATTATTTAGTTATAGTCTATAAGTCTATATGCACACTTCCCCCTCAGTCCCCTCACCAAAAAACTAGGCAATTTGTAACTGTATAAATCGAATCAGATTCCCGATAAAATCAAAGACAGTCGAAATTAATGAGTAGATTGTTGATTCACTTATCGCACATCAAATCAGACATACATATATATATATATATACATAGATATATTTATAGAGGTCGCAAGGCATAACGGTAAACATAATGGGAGACATAACAAAAAAAAAGACCCCTTAAGTGTAATCAGTTTTGTAATTGAATTTGTAAATGAGCCGACATTTTGTGTTTGGCAAGAGACTCATTCTCCCGCGCATAGTTTTAATAATTTATAAGCTCAAACAAAAACAAAAAAATATTCTTAATTATAATTAACTTAAACACAAAAATCAACCGAAATTATTGTCTAAGCTATATATATAATTAGTAAAGGTTATTAAATAAAAAGTTAAATGAGATTATTCATTAAATAGTGATTTGCCTGTGGTTTCATGTTTTGAATTAAAACAATATATATCTTGTCTTTTCTAATCTTACAGTAAGATCGTTAATTTGCGCATTTGAAAATGCGCGCAAATCAAATCGATAACTGTTCCGTTGGTCGATAGATTGTGGCGGTGGGCCGATTCGTGTATGTGCCGGGTGCGTGTCATGACTACATTCTCCGTGAAGGTGGTTGTCTAAGCTCAAGTGCTCAGCAGTCGTTAAGTGAACTGTTCGTTGAATCAGTAACAAAGTGCGAACAGAATTGTGCTATTAGAACAGAATTATGAGTTTACTTAATTGGTGCCGATTATAAACATGTATAGCTTGTCAATGGGCGGCCATCTAATATGAGCCCAATTCGTTCAATTCACTCACCTTCGTCAAGTATGCCGTTCGTTAGTAAGTTCGTTCAGTCTGTTCGTTCGTCGAGAGAATAATTTGTTATATTTATAACTAAGCTCAAGCCAATTAAATATGCTACAGTGTAGTTTCACCAAGCGATGCGCACAAACCGTGCGTCTGCGGTAAATTTTTAGAACAACATTCGTTTCACGCTGAATTCGTTAAGTGAGTATAATTTCGATGCTTTGGTACACAACGAAGTACTGATGGAAGTAAGTACAGGTGTTGTAGCTGTGAGCTTATGCTTGTATGATGTAGGCGGGAAACTTAAAAATGTAAAATTTAACCTAATTTAATTTTATTATAGATTAATGCATATTTGTAATTTCTGCTGCTTTTTCCCAGACTTCCTCCGAGGTGCATTCAAAACTGATAATAAATTGTGAAAAGGCTGTCAGCAAAGTGTTAAGTAGGCAAAAAGACACTTCAGCTTCAAATTGTAATAAATAAAATAAAATAAAGCCACTCAGCTAATCAAATATGGTATTTAAATCAATTTCTCTTTATCTGCGTCACCCTCTCTCTATATAAATAAATTGGGTTTTGTGGCTCTTGTCTGCCAGTTGCAGGTGCACAATGCAAAGGCTAACAGGACACACAGGATAACAGGTCAGCCAGCATTGCATTCAAATTTCATCAAACATGTGCTTAGTTTGTTTAGCATGTGATTAGAACAGACAGACAGACAGAACGTCAGTCTAGCCGACCCATCATCATCGTCATCGTCATTCTCATCAATAGCATTATTATCAACGTTCTACCTTTTGTTGAACTGTCAGTCTGTCAGTTGTCAGAGTCAGTTGCCTAACCTTTTTGTCTTTCTTGTCGCCCGTCGTATGTCCGTCTATGCGTCTGCTTCACTCACCGTTTTTATCTGCATGATTTGCATTCTATAATCTTTAGCCAAGGATTCTCTCTTTTTGCCTCACGCTATTCTGACTCAATTTGGCCATTGAACTCCTTCTCGTGACGCACTCAGCACTTATTCAACTCTTAGCTCATTAACATATTGCACTCATATTCGTATTCACATTCCCATTCGTATTTGTTTTTGGCTGATTACACTACACTCGGAAAAATATTGCAAAAAAATAAAAATAAAAGGTTACCCAAAATCGACAATGAAATTTAATAGGGCGATTTACTAAAATATAGGTTGATTTTTTTCTGAGTGTATCATTGAGAAATCGCTTTTTAAATTGCGTCACGCTCGCAGAGCGCTATCTTTGACTTTGGTGATGGGTTTCTCATCTCATTGGGCTATCAGCGCCCTCAGGGCACACATTCGTAGCACGTGTCTTAATTTGGTGGTTTTTGTCAAAATTGCTCCAAAGAAAACGCTAGACGAGAAATCAACTAGCCAAGTGTGCAGTTATTTTTATTGGCCGCGATTTAAGAGTGTAAACTGTAGTTAAATTGCCATCAAATCCGACTAGATCTGACTGCCGAAAAGATAACAGAGATGAGCTAATTTCTGCTACCTCCTCTAAAAAGCTAATCCTCTTGCCTAACTTCGCAACTCGCAAATTTTGTGGAAACTCTCAAAAATGATCAGATTTTCACAAAGCAGGTCTTTTTTATCTTTTAATAATAACACGATTTTCATCTTAAAATATGACCCCTATAATAATGTGGAATCTGATCTAAGCTTTTTAATGTCATATTTTGTCTCAAAGCTGATTCATTAATATTTGAATACACTTTGCAATTAAATTTGTATTATTCTAAATATAAACTTTCGAGAATGCGGTAAATGAATGCACATCTGAGATTGAAATGAGATTCAGATTGAGTTTGAGTTTGAGCTGGCAGCTGCATGCAAATAAGCTTTTGTCCACAATCTGCTGACCTAATGTAAATCAATTTGCATGCACTATTCATATATTAATATCCAATCAGTGCTATACACACACAAATAAACACATACTCACACTTCTGGAACTGATCGATAGGAGGTGGTACACAGGGACAAGTCTGTGATGCACTCAGAAAAATAATCGGCCTGAAAGTAGAATGTTGTTATTCTTTTTAGAAATAATTTTTAGATATTAGAAACAACATTTCTGGAACTTAACAATGCTTACCCTAAATCAACAATCCAATATTTCCTATTGCTAAGAAAAACATTTATAAAAAGAAGAAATGCAAACCCTAATTTTTAGAAAAAATTCCTATATTAGAGTTTATTGCTTCTGTTTATAAATTTTATAACCTATGTAAAATGTTTGTATATTTAAATCCTAAAATAGAATGTGTATTAATAATATAAGTAAGAAAATGCTAAAATAAGAATTCTTCAATATCCACACATAGAAAACAAATACACCCTGAAAATGATATATATATTTTCTCAAAATTTCAGAATGACCAATCTTTAAGGGCAAATTTTTTTGTAAGTGTATAAGATTCTTGATAGTATAGGCAACTGCATGCACTTAGTAGCCTGCTCCATTATTAATTAGTTGCACTAATTGCTACAGAGACCCGTCCACACCCGATGATGACGTGCTACTCAACCCCACCAACCCAACCACCCACCAAGCCGCCTACTAGCTAACACACCTGCAATTAGCAGTCACATTGCAAGACTTTCGAGCAGCTGCCACAATATGTTAAGCACAATAGTACGCCTCGGCATGTCACATGCGGCTGCCACACGCATTGAGCCAACCCCAAACCTGCACCACTCAACAACAACAACAACATCAAGAACAGCAATAGCACCAACAGCAAAATCGAGTGTCGCTAAAAATAACAAAGCCTAAGCCCCAAGTGCAGACACAGACACGGACACGGACACACGGATGCCACAGCTGGTGGTAAGATGGGCAAACAGAGGCCTAAGCAGCAACAGCAACTGAAATCGAAATGGAAATGGAAACTGAAATTGAAACAAACCACATTCAGTTCGCTCTCACTCTCTCTTTCCCACTCTCTCCTTCCCACTCTCTCCCTCTCTTTCTTTCAACACTTGCTCTTACCACTCAGTAGTACAATAAACGCTTTGTTGCACTTAGTGCTCTTACTCTCCTCAATTCCCTATAGTCAAGCCTAACATTAAACAACTTATTTGCTTATTCTTACAATATTTTATTACGAAACCCAATATTTAAACTATCATCGAGGGAATGGGAATTAGAGTGAAGAGTATGGTAAGCACAGATTCAAGTCAACAGTTTCTCGTGTTAAACCTTATGATGAAGGAAAGTCTAAATATTATATATAATCGATAGTAACGCTTCTAAACTTGCTGAAGCTATAAGTTGGTCAAAAGTGATTTGAATTTCAAAACCCAAGGGTATTTAATCATGGTTCGATATCAATTTCAATACTACATTTAAATCGAAGTTCGTGTACAAATTGTATCCCAAAAAACGCAACTGCGAATGGGAATATCTTCATCAAAAGTGATCTGATTTGATGTATTGAATAATACTGCATACACACAACTAAAAAAAACACTTTTGAACGGTTCTAAGCTTTCCAATGTCATAGCTTTGTCAAAACTCAACAGGTTTTGAAAAGACAGGTCTTTTTAGTCATGGCTTAATCTCCAGAATAATGCTACATACAAAGTTGAAACCGCTATCTGCTTCGGTTTTCCAGCCCAACTTTCAGTCCCTCTTTCAAAAGTACTAATATACTATTGTAAAATATTAACTTTTCGTTTAACAAACTCAAAACCATTGCGCACACAGCGAGTAACTACTGTACTTCGCAGAGAGCACAATGAGTGCGGCGCCTGCGTTTGACGTTTGCGGCTCGTGCGACGGACGGGTTCAGTATTTAGCATTCAGCATTCGTTTTCCATTCGTTTTTCGTTCGTTTATCGCCGAGTCTCTCGCGAGTGTCTCTCGAGAGTCTCTCCTCGAGTCTCTCGAGTTAGTCGAGTTTGTCGCTAGTTCTCAGTTGGTGTTGTGTGGGCTGTGGAATCAGTTGCTTTTCGTATCTGCAACGAGTTGGATAAAAAAAAGGAAAAACAATTCGATTGGCGGTGCGGCCTGCCGCGTGTATCTAAAGTATCTGTATCTGTAACTGTATCTTGGACTGTGCATCTTGTTAGTTAGTTAGTCAGTTGGTTGAGTTAGTTTCGTACTGAAAAAACACAAGCACGCTGTAATAAAACTAAAGCCAACTGATAGCCAACCCAAGATATAAAAATTAAATATTAAATATTCCAAGCGCGTGTGTGCACAACAAATTATAAATAAAAAATATATACCAATAAAAGATCAGCAACAATAAATGACTGCAAAAATGCGCCTAGAAAATTCATAAAAAAAATAAACAGCCTAAAAAATACGCGCCGCGTTTTTATCATAGCCAAAAAAATATTTGTTTATTTATGTTTTGGGTGCTCGGCAAACGCGTTTCTTTGCTGTCGTCTGTGTATCTCTAAAATCGAGTGCTGTGTGTGTGAGTGTGTGTGTGTGTGCCACAAAACAGCTGTTGGTGCAACAACAACGATAACAACAGCAGCGAGAACATTTCTGTGTGTTTTTAACTAATCTTTGAGAGCATATGAAAACAACAACAAAAGTTTAAAATTGCATATAAATTGTTCTTTAATTAAAATTCATGTTTACGAGCCGTTGTTTTTATTGAGGTGAGTTTTTACATATATTAAGAAACAACTGTAAAATCGCCAATCTCTCTCTCTCTCTCTCTCAGACACACACACTCGTTCATAAGCATTTTGTTGATAATTGCGCCGGTTGTGTTTTTTTCAGGAATCTTTGTTGATAAGCGAGTGTAAAGTCATTGGCACTTTTTGGGTTTATTAACACACATTACCCAAAGACATTGCCAAAAAAAAAGAAAAAAGTTATATAACCTGCTTGTGATAGACATTTATCTTTAAAAAAAATAATAATAATTATGACAATTAAATATATTGCATAATTAAATTTGTCAAAGCTACTTTTGTTTTTCTGACTTGTGTCTCATTTAGTTTTTATTAACATATATTTGTTAATTTTTGACTTTGAAGCTTTAAGCTTGTTTTTGTTTTTCTACAATTGTGTAAAAAGAAAAAATAATAATAAATATACAAATAAAAAGTCGATATATAACTGTGTTAAAAAGAAGATATACATTTTGTATATAGTACTGTAGAATTGTATATAATTTTTGATTTCTCAACGATGAGTTCAAACTTAAAAGCTAGCTGATTACAGATAATTATTTTGTTAGACCAGTTCTATTGTTCCATATCATCTTTTTATGAACCCTTTTCCAATTGACTTTCACTTGATATGCGCATATAAACATTTTATTAACCCTTTTTTCCGAATTCGCTTTCACTAAATGTGCTCATAGTAAAATCTACTCCTTTGTCCTTTGTTCAACTGACGAGCGACACCCTAACTGAACGCTACTCTACAGCTTCAGCATAGGGGTATTAGAAAATAAGAATAGAGCCAAAGGGCATTCAAAATACTTATTTTTTCTTCTATTTTGTTTGCCGGGCTAGCCCAGAAAAGTAACCAACTAATCAACCAACTAACTTAGTTGGCCAGTTAGTTGAAGGGTCTAGAAACAGGAACTTAATGAATACACGACATGCACAACAACAATAGAACAATAACTACAAGCAGGTCCTTCAGTGTGTGTGAAATGTGAAAAATCAATAAAAACGCACGCGAATCGAGTCAAACAACCAGGACACCTTTTGTTATACCCCAACCCCCCCTTCACCCACATATCCCTACTGCAGCCCACCTCTGACTCACTACCGGCGCCAAAATGTTGCCTTTGCCAGGCGTCGATTAAACATTTGGCTTTTAATTAAGCGAATCATAGCCAAAAAAAATCACAAAAAAAAAGGCTAGAAAACTAAAGTCAAATTAACGACGGATGGCGACTCGTAAATTGCGTTCATCAAGTGCAGTTTAATGCAAGCCGGCATCACAAAGAGCGAACAGAACACTGCCCCCCCCCCCCCCCCGCCCCCCATTCCCGCGTCCCTGTCCACCTCCCACGCCCATTTAGGACACTCGTCAGAGCGTTTAGCAGCTCGTTGAGTGCATTGAGAGAGAGGAGTCATTGCCATTAGTGAAAAAAGTACAAAATTCACCTGGCAACAACAACAAAAAGTAGCAGAAGAAGCAGCAGCAGCAGAAGCAGAGGAAGCAGAGGAAGAAGCAAAGTAGTCAACGCTATTTTGGCGCTCGACACGCACCAACAACAATAAGAACAACAACAACAATAGAAAAACGTGGAAGAAGAAGAAGAGCAACAGCAATAGAAACAAGATGAAGAAGAAGCGCAAGAACAACGGACGAGTCCCCAGACCAAAAATCTTGAACGCAGGCGCATGAGAGAGATAGAGAGAGAGAGCGAGTGCGAGTGCGAGAGCGAGAGCGACTTTTGTGCTTGCTCTCCCAAAACAACAACAACAACAGCTCCTATCACCACCCCCCACCCCTCTGCTCCTTTGTGCTTATTTTGCTGCGCTTCCTGTGCAATTGTTATTGTTGTCCTTATTTTGATGTCTATATTTTTTGTTGGCAGGAGAATTGTGTCGCTCGTGTGTATCTTGTGGATTGCACTCAATGCAACGCCAAAATCAAGCCAAACCGAAGCAAACCAACCCAACCCAAAATGCCAACCCCCAAATGAAAATGTATATGAAAGACGAGATTTGCATTTCAGATTTGGCCTGGCAGTGGCATCAATTTGCAAATAGCTGCATATCTATATATATATATATATATATATATATTTGATACCTGCCAGTTGACAGATCAACATTGAGCCATATATGTATATTTTGGCAAAAAGTGAAAGTGGAAAGAACTGTCTTCCAAAAAAGTTTTTTATGTCTATCCACAAAATAATGATCAGTGAAACTATAAGAGATACTATATATACTATACTATACATTAATTATATAACTTCCATTGCATTGATTGTATATTACCAGAGAGAGACCAAGTTTCTTTCATTTTATTGATAACTCAACCCTTTTACGCGTATATCGATATAAATCGATTGCCGATAGGAACAAGAGACACAATTGTAAAGATTTAGCCTTCCGATTGATACAAAACACACCCAAATATTTTGTTATTCAACTGTCGAAATTCAATTAAGATCGCAACAGAAACACTGATTTTAATAAGCAAAAGTAATTTGCATATTCGAAAAACTGCGTCTGCTGTGTATTTAACAGGGTATCTGCTAGTCGAGCTGCTTCAAATTGCTTTGTATATTTTCCCCTTCGTGTACACACATATCTCAAGTTTTTTATAGTTTACTCAATTTATTTGCATATTTCATCGAAATTTGCTGAGCAATGCACACAAGTGTTTGTCGGACTAGATAGAAAACGATAAATATATTTATTTATATATATATATATATATATATATATAATTTGAAACACCTGGCTATTGAAATGTTTATTCATTTGCACCACTAGATATATATATATAATATAGGCTTATACATATTGCTTATGTACTTTGTGCAACACTCGATTTCATTATCAGATTGAGTTTTGGTTAATTGGGTCATTCGTGGCACAAATGAAGTCAAAACTAGCCCGGGGAATAGATAGAAAAAGAGTGAGAGAGACACTGCTTTCAACCAGCTATCTCTCTCGCTCTCACTCTTGGTCTGGGCTAACAAGTGGCTGCTTGGGTGTGGGCTGGGGGAGGGAGAGGGGAAAGGAAAGGGCATAACTGAAGTGGATGCTCTTTGATTCTTGCAACGCACTCAAGTGGGTCACATTGAAATAATATTCTCTGGCTAATATCTAGAGCGGATGTGTTTATCATAGAACCGAGCCGTTTGCTCACACTTGGCCAACATTTGTCTGTCTCTGTCTCCCTCTCCACTTTTTTCCTCTCTTTTTCTTCCAACAAATACTAGGGGGAAGCTGAAGCTGTGATTGCATGTGGCAAATAAAAAAAGAAACTGCAAACCTGGCCGCAAAGAAGGAAAGTGAAAATGCCAAGCAAAGCAATGGCCTGTGTGACTACTGCAAAGCTTCCGCATTGTTTTCCATTGTTTATTTTCCACTCCCCGCCCTTATCTCTTCCCCCTGGCAACCCTTTTGTTTCTGGTTTATATGTGCTGCATGTGCCATGATAATAACAATTAATCTGTAATTTTACACCGCTTTTCCCTTCATCTCCCTCTGGATACATATATATGAATATATATATATATAAGTCATTGCCAATATGTCGCTTAATATTTGCACAAGTTTATTCCTATATATATATCTATATATATATATAGTATTTGTATGCACAAGGGGTATACATTTGTATACATATTTACATTGATATTTTCAATATTTATCATTCTCTCCCAGGCATTGAGTGCATTGAACTGCAGCCAGTCAACTGGGCATTTCTCGAGCATATAACAAGTATTTAATCACTCCCTTGTCACTCCCACAAACATACTAATAGATATAGCAGTTAGAGGAGAGAGGGAGAGAGAGAGCTTGCAAATTGTGCCAGCAAGTGTCCAACTGGGGAAAAGTGCATTATTAGCTGTCGCTGGCTAGTTGGCAGCCAGTTTTCCACATTTGTTTTCTCACATTTAGGCGGAGGTTAGGCTAGCTCTAAAAGCACCAACAATTTTTCCAAGAGCACAGAGTGTGCAAGTATGAGAGAGAGAGAGAGAGAGAGAGGGAGTGGCATACAGAGATAGCTACATGTACATTTTTACCTGATGTTTAATCTGTACAAAATAATGTTACTAGCTTGACAGCTTTTCGGACAGTGGTCCAGAAGTCTGCTAAGAATTTGTAAATTAAGCTTTCAATATTCGACCAACATAATTATTTTACTGCATATTAATAGATATAAATGATCTTTCATAAATACTATTTTTATTCATTATATTATTTTCATATTAATGATGTTCGCGTATAATTAATAAGCTCATCATTTATCCAAACTACAACAATTATTAGCTTCAAATTCTAAACTACCTGCTTAATGGGACCACCCACTGTGGTTCCACTGTAGCTCCCAAGCTCAAAAGTCAATTAGTCCAATTCACTAAGCTGGCGAAACCAAAGAGCTGCACTTCAACCAATTTCATTCCTGACTCGGATTCACCCTGCACTGCTGTCCAATGTCCAGTGTCCATATGTCAGTCAGGCAAAATCTGTCTTAAATTTTTAATCAAGTGAAATGTTTGTGTTAACGCATGGACCATTTCTCTGCGGAAACAGGCTTATATATCTGCCCAGAGTGTAGTGTGAGTGTGTGAGTGGGTGTATCTGAGTGTAAATCTTTGGTGCTTGCATTTTGCTGTTACGTGCCTGCAGCTCAATTACATTAATCGGCCTTGTGTTGCCTGTGCCTTCCATGTGCATGTTGTTTGACGCCCAGCCAACGCAGAACTTGCCCGGGCTAAATGCATTTTCATGTCATACGGGGAAAAATGCTCAAAATTGCATTTGCGTGGCAAAAACTATTGCCATAGGTCAGTATTCATATTCGTGACATGAAACTGAATAAATAAACCTGACTTGAAAAAGAGTAGAGAGAGAGATAGTGAGACAAAGAGAGAGATAACTTTAGTGGGTATATAAAATATATAATATATATATGTATAATAAAAATTGAACTTGTACTTCAG